TAGGATTCATTGTATGGTCTCACCATATGTATACTGTAGGATTAGATGTAGATACTAGAGCTTATTTCACAGCTGCTACTATGATTATTGCTGTACCAACTGGTATTAAAATTTTCTCATGGTTAGCAACTTTATACGGAGGAAGTATTAGATTCACTACTCCTATGTTATTCGCTTTAGGATTCATTTTCTTATTCACTTTAGGAGGATTAACTGGTATTATGTTAGCTAATGCTTCTATTGATGTAGCTTTACATGATACTTACTATGTAGTAGCTCATTTCCATTACGTACTATCTATGGGTGCAGTATTTGGATTATTTGCAGCTTTCTACTATTGGATCGGTAAAATTACAGGAAGATCTTATAATGAATTATTAGGACAAATCCATTTCTGGAGTCTATTCGTAGGTGTAAACTTAACATTCTTCCCTCAACATTTCTTAGGTCTAGCCGGAATGCCTAGAAGAATCCCAGATTACCCTGATGCATTCGCAGGATGGAACCTAATTTCATCATTTGGATCTATTGTTTCTATTGTAGCTACTTTAGTATTCATTTACGTAGTTTATGATCTATTAAGTAAACAAGAATTTAATTTAGCAAGTAACTATTGGAGAGTTCCTGCATTCTTCGAAAGTTCTAGAGGTGTATCTTTAACTGAAACTGCTTCTACTTTAGAGTGGAGCTTAAGTTCACCTCCATCTTTCCATACTGTAAACTCTTTACCAGTACAATCTTAATTAAATTAACTCAGCATTCGCTGGGATGATACCTATTTATACCTTCTAACGGTGGTATTGTAAGTAAATTTTTATTTCTGGTTCCCCAGATTTTAAAGAATTGAAACTAAATAAATGTTTTTAGTTCCCGGTCCCGAGAGGGCCGGGGACCAGGGACGAGGAACGTAATCTTATTAGACGGATTCATTCTTCCTTATTAAATACCCTTATTATCAGTTAAGAAAGTCTATAAAAGTAAGGTAACCATACTTCTAACAAGTTTAATGTTAACATTAAATGGGTCAATTAAAGAAAAGTTTTCTTCTCTTAGAGATGTGCTACTGATTTAAGTCAGTATAGCATTTTCAATAAATACTTTAGGGTTTTATTTAAAAATAAACTTTTATAAAATTGACTTTTGACTTTTTATCTTAAAGTCATATAAATGACAAATATGTCATTCTATAATAAAGTTAAGAAGTAATCCTCCGAAAAGATTCAGAATGAAATTCTGATCTTTAGCCGCCCGGTTTAGACCGGTGGCCTGCCCCGGCAGCGGTTTTATGAAAGAAATTGATTCTTTCATATTAAAAAGATTCGTTCTCTCATTCCTCAATTTTATTAAAATCGAATTTTAATAGCAGCCGGGCTTGGACTGGTGGTCCGCCTTGGCGGAGAATTGAATTCTTGAGAACTAGAGGTACCGATAGATAAAAAAGTTTTATTAAACACAACAATGTCAACTTTAACAACTTATTTAGTTAACAATCCATTAGAGCAATTTGAAATCTTTGATTTTGTTTATATTTTAGCTCCAGTATTTGGATTCACTAAATTATCTTTCACTAATATTGGATTTTACTTTTTCTTAGGTATTTTCCTAGTAATTGCGATTAATGTTTTATCAACAAACAATGGATCTTTAATCCCATCTAGATGGG